AGGCAGCGAGGAACAGTAACAACGAGGACAGCTATGATGACTGTAGTGATGGGGGTTTGTCGTCGAAAGGAGCCCCTCATCACGGTTGCTGCTACTAACATCAACTGCCGCGGAAACACAACCATTATCGCTATCACCAACCATATTTAAATGAATGGAAAATAGAAAAGGGGGAAGAAGAAAAGTAGATGTAAATAGCAAGTGATTGAATAGTACTACTAACTGTAAGCGGATAGTCGTGCAGACTATGCGACCGCTGATAGGAAGGTCGGTCTGACTACTGAATGAAGTCCTTTGAGGGTCATCATGCCCATTATCGTCGTCATGATAATGCTGATCGTGAGGAAAAGAAAAAAGGACGAGGACGGTGACCCTACACTTAGCTAACGGTAATAATAACAATGAGACGAAGCAGTAGCTGAGGGTTGACCGCTAGACGGGCTTTGCAAGTCCAGCTAAAATGGTGACAACAATAGCGACAATGGCGCCACGAACGGCCGTAACAATCGCAATGATGCCTGGCCATTGTTAGGCGCGGGAACGGGAGTATCCGACGGTCCATCCGTCATTCTATGGTTAGTCTATCCTTTCTCGTTTGGTCTGCTATGGCCAATGGGAAAACAAGAGCTGTAAAGATATGACTGCTGCTGTTAAGAATCACGATATTGACAATTATTATCGATGACATTTGCTATCTTAAATTAAATATTCTTTTAATTAGTCATAGTATCGACGAAATTGTGTTAGTGTTACAGAAGTGGACTAGTTTATGTCGCGTCCTATTTTACTTGTCTCAATCGCTGCAATAATAGCATTCTAAAAAATTGCGCGACAGCATTTTTTTCGTATTTGGTAACTAGATGTTGGAAAATCTGGATTTGAAAAACACTGCTTGAGAATATTATACGATTTAAAAACGGATATCATCATAAAAATACACTGCCAGAGGTGAGTTCGTGTCGTATGAAGCTACACAAATGCTTATTATTATTATTCATTTAAACGGAGTGCTATATGTTGCAGCAGTTGGCACCAGACTGTCTCTACATTGCTATTTCGCATACACAGATGACCTAAAAATACACGTACCTTCCTGGTTACCTTATACAGTTAATATAAGGCGGCGACGTTAGTTTGTACATGTCGTTAACGTACGCATAATGATCTATCTTTGCAACGTACACAGTCTTTTCGTAGTTTTGGCGGAATATTTTTTACGTGGGTAAATTCAGTGTTCAGGCTTCGTTATTGTCTGCGTTTTGACACATTTGCAACCATTCTGCCTTCCAAACATCTTCATCCAAAGCATCCGTGTCACAATATTCACGACGAGGTTTCCACGCGAGTTCTTACAGAGATCATATCAATCCCCTAAATAGTGTGTATTATCAGAGTATAAGTTACTGCTAAACAGGGCTCTGTAATGGTGATTGCAAGTGGCCGTTAGAAACGTTATCTTCAGCGAAACTTCTGCGGTATTAACATAACGCAGATCACTTCGTTGTTGCTATTGCGATGATTGTATACATCTTCAACGTTGTGCACGCAATTTGTGTTTGATGACAGCCAGCCATGTTTGTGATGGCGACCTACATACCCACACAAATATAACGCTGTACTTTGTAATAATATTGTCCATTGTCTCTGTTACACTGAGTTGAAAGGTCGCTAAGAAGAAACATGGACGAAGCCGCAACAGCATCCTGACCAATACACACACTTACGAATGGTGAGAAAACGAAACACTCGTCCCATTATCTTCCGATGATGAATAGCTTTCTAGCATTGAAAATATCGTAGGAAAAAGCTAAACTTGACATCAGATGTCCTCTTCTTCGCATGAGCTTGCGGCAAAGTGGATACAAAGCATTACGTTAGAGTAACGAAAAATCTGCCCCAGCGAGAGCAATTGGTCGCATTGGTGAAACAGGGCTCTCGTCCGTGCAAGCGAATACCTTCCGCGTCACCATAGCGCTTTTAATCGACGTTAGCAACGATTTCGTTTTTACGCTGGCTATTGAGCAGCAATAGAGCAGAACCACTAGGTTAACGTATAAGGCGACACGAAAGTACTTCTTAAACGTAATAAATCACATATTCTAGTATAAAAATGACTGGTTCTTCTAGCCAACGACGAGGTTAAACCGTGTCATTACCGGCTTGGCTTTTTAGTGTTTACCTTTGTGAATCGCCCGCTGATCATTACAACAATCGACAGCCTTATATTATCAGATTGATTTTGTGTCACTCGGCCATCTTTGTAGCTTAACTAGTGCTTACTCTTAACCACCTCGTTATTCCGAGAACTTGTTCACTCTGCAAGCCGACAAAGGATTTTTCGTATATCGCCTTGCTTGAAGATAAACGTGCTTTTCAAACATAGAATAAAATTAGGTCTATAAGAAACACATATACACTTGTAGGAAATAGTAACTAAATTTTACCGGCTCATCTCCTCGGTACAATATTTTTTGTTAATGTTCAAATAAGTATAATGTTGGAGCTGAGCAGGAATCTATCCACTGCATAGCCATAGACGTAATGGGACGTTTCGATTTATTCCAATATTTGCACCGCTTAATTTCGACATTTATCGCTCTCACGGATAGCGTTACTTCGAGAAACCTCACTCGGCTTTACTTTGCTGGGCTCGTAATGGGACATTAAATGGCGCGCTATTCAAAAATAATCATAATAACTAATTAACTGCGGTCGATCCGAAACGCGCAACAAATGGCTAGGATCGTGTTTTAGCTTTTTGAGACGATACCTATTTTATCGCATGGATTACTATTTCTTCTAAAAAATATTAAAAGCAAATAAATCTGAAAAGAAATGTATACATGTTGCAGGCCTGCTTGAGGGATACAAACGTCCAACATATTTGAATTAATTACGTACTGGTTGATTCACTTCGAGAAAGAAGGCCAGTGTCAGATCTAGTAGTTCTTTTGAAGTTTTGCCTTCGAGATGGGTCCAGACATTTCAAGCGGGTCGAACATATCTAGGTGTCTAAGCTAGCTCTGTATATATACATATACAATATATTGATGAACAAAACAAAACAATGTAAAATTCATTCCGACCTTGAAATTTCCTGTAAAGAATAAACACTGTTTCGCTTAACCTTTAAAGTAGGCCTTCCCAGAAAGACAGATTTCCGAAGCCGGTCGTAATCTATGTCATAGTCAGAAGTGGGACCAGAACTTTTCGATTATATGTGCAAAACGCCTGCCGCCCATTGAAAGTTGACTTAAGTAACATACGTTGGTTTCGAATCGAAAGTAGCGTTTTGCAGGCGACTTAAAAATGTACGAATATGAGTACAACAACCGACGATGTTAAGGGCCCAATCGTCGAAGTCGTTTAAACCATAATTACTAAGAGATATACCTACTATTGTCATCGTATTATTCTCACAAGCTTTACTTTTACTGACAGCGCCTAAACGAAATAGATCTAGTCCAAGTTATGGAAAAGTAAAATATGAACAAAGTTGCTCCTCTTAATATTACGTAGTTTGCAGGAAACGAAGTATATCTATGGCGGTGCAAACATGTGCAGCATCAGAATGCAGAGTGACGGCGCTTAAGTTACTGGGCATTATCAGCGAATACATTTTAAAGAACAAAGACGATCTTCCCTGTTCATGTTGATCATTGCCTGGCGTATGCGAGAAGACAATAAAAACGCAACACTGCTTACGGCATCGTTAGTGCTTTGAAAATCACTTAAAGGCTTGACGTTGTTGGGCGCGATGAACACGCATCACGGCATTGTATGTACTTGAAAGTAAGAGAAGACTGTCGTACGGCAGATTATCACCGTGGGAAAAAGCTATACCGGAATCCGCTACGGAGTAGGCGATCTGGAGGCAGAAAGGGAGAACAGGACAGAAAATCGGCCAATACGATCACAGCGACATGAACGACAACGCTACCGCTATAGACAGAAAGGAACAAACAAGCGCACGTCGTTGAACGACCTGTGTTGAATGAACGTGGAATCATATTATTGGTTAGATCGTTGGTACGCTGCTGATGATACAATGGCGCACGTCGAGTTTCCACCGATCTATACAAACGTGACATCTAGTGACTCAAAGAGGCAAGCTACACAGCTAGAGAGGAGTTTGTTGTTTCGTGGAAATGACCATTGAGGGTCATTCGTAGGAATTCTTTGCAAAGAATAATCAACACAGCCGATGGCAACAACCGTTGCTGGGATACCATCGAATAAGTTGTTGCAACATAGACAGTGGATAACGAAAATAGTAGCTACGACAAGACGCTAACGTTAACCGCGCCTCCTGTATCTCTGATAACTCATCAATAATCATCCCTGCCCCTCTAAGTGATGGACATTCACAGGTGTTACATAAAAATGCTTTGGATATCCGAAGTCCGTACACTTGAGGGGTTGCACCATGCCATAGGTGGAACGGAGTGCGTGGGACCTGTCCTTCTCTGAATATATATATATATATATATTACTACAGTTACTATTACTGCTGTTGTCGATTGCAGAGTACAGCGGCCGTCATTTCCGTCATCTTCGCGTGCACGTTGGCCCTTACCTGCGGCACTGGGATGTAAACTAACATAATTCTTGTCGTGTGAAACTCGACGGCGAAACTGTATGGTCAGTTGTTCAGTTCTATGATGATAGCGAACAGATAGCTCATAGATCTCTATTGAGTAGATCATCAGTCAGTGTTATTTATACTAGTATAGTAGAAATCTCCGAAAATGCAGCCTTGCAACTCTTTGCTCATCTAGTGGAAAAACAAGGCTATTTCCGCTTGCCTGCAAATGGTAAGTTGTTGCCTAACTGAAATGGTGGAAGTGTCATTTCATCTCTCCATGTAAATATTGCTTTGTATACTGTACCTCCTTATTGTATAGTAAAACTTTACAACCATGAACAATTGTGATAAAAAAAAAACTACGTGCAATCAATGTTGAATCAATTGAACGTGTTGGTAACTTCAAGTGACCTACCGTGGGCACAAGATCCTTTTATCCAGTACGCAACACCCTCCTCGACCGGTAGATAATCATCTGCGGTTGGCTGCAATCGCAAACAAATTTACCGGTAGGATAATAATAACCCTGTAGTAAAGTAAGATAAACCTCGATATGTTTAAGTAAAATTACGAGCAATGCAAAGCGACTATGACCTAAAAATACATAAATCTCTGATTTCCTAACACGCTAGAAATTAGCGCTATTAGGCTGCAGATCTCTATCAATTGGTCCTCTAAATTAGTTAAAACAATTCCCTAATTCTTATGATTTGATTCTTCTTATTACGGCAACTGCTATCGCTCCATAATAATATAATGGCTGTAAACCTTTTCTATAAATACAATTTAGCGTAAATAAGTGGTTTATGTTTGTATCCGCAAACATGGCCTCAAAGTCTAACACCCATCAGAATGTATCAAACAAAGGATAAATACTCCAACTAGTAGCCATCTAAATTTACTAGCCCTGACTTGTGTTCGCCTTGGCAAGCGAAGTATTTAGATTGCTCAAATAAAAGTACTTTCAGCAAAAGGTTAACATTTAAAAACGCTCTTAGATGAAACCAAGTTTTTTTGCGGAAAATTATCGTTGACTTCGTGCACACTTAACAATGGACAGTTTCTTTTCCAAACAAGCAATAAGCGCTGTAAGAGAAGAAGTGATAGGTCGGTGGTTAGTTCGTTAATGTGGCCGCCGCCGCCGCCGCCGCCGCCTTTGTTATCATTTAGTCAAATATCGCAGGACACAACGCCGACGACGATGATAATGGTATTAAGGTTTCCGACCGTGCGACGGAAGATGCTTTGCGAGTGCATTGTACGTTATTTATAAAAATGATCATACAGCGTGACGCGGAGCTATCTTTTTTTGCGGATCCAGCTTACATCGTCTTAGTTACGATTCTTTTAAAAATGTCAGCGGTCCATGAGCTAACTTAATTAGGCCACAGTAACAAGAATATTCAACGCCGTTAATGTTATCTATTTGCTCAGTTTTAGACTGGCTGTGGAATAATTTCTTACAGTTAAAAAAATAAGGGCTTAAAAATTTCTGATGAGCTTGTCTCCTTGGTTGTGCCTGTCGTTTATGTCGACAGTCTGCTTTGTTCACATCAGCACATATCTTTGTCTCTGAATGGAGTACTTCAGCGAATTACTTCTATGAATTTTATCATTACCATAAAACTATATATACAGTTGTCTCTGCTTGTAGCACCTTACTTTCACAGCTGTGACTAGGGGAAAAATAATTGCGTCGTCTTTTGTGTGCTGTCCTGAATTACGTCGCACTAGAAACGAGTACGACAGTGCGTCCGGGTAGGTACGTTGCAGCAAGTAACCTATGTGCCACATTTTGTAACATATAACACTGAAGGAAGTCAATCAAGTCAAGACCGACAAAAGCCTTTGATAAAAATAATATTTGCTCGACATCTTGAGCATTAAAACCACGTATTCACTTAGTTATGCACGACGGAAATGATATGATCGAAACTTTTCTCCACGTTGGGTAAGCTTGCCTTAAGAAGCTACCGCTCGATTTCGTTTTTCTTTCATTGTAGCTGCAGGTAAGAAGAAGTTAACACGCCGTCTGGTGATAAACGCGATAACGAGTGCGGTTTGCGACAATGGTACACTATATTTTCAAGCGGCATTTGTCCTTTATGAAAACCTAGTACTAAGATAGGGAATCGGCCGTGGTGACTCTTTGCAACTGTCGCACAGAATATAGATGACGCTTCTCTCCAACGCCAATAACGCTGAGACGGTTCATTAAGAAAGTCGAATAGGCTGGCAAATTCGCAAACGGAGTGAGGCCAGAGAGACCATAAACCACGCGAGCAAATTACAACAACGACGAATAGTCTGGATGACGATTTGACGACCTCAATATGACGACACGTCCAACAGTTTGGTCTATTGGCAAGTGCTCCGGGACCCAATTTGAAGCAATGTTTATCCGTACAAAGTCGACTCTATTATTGAAGATTCAGTGCTATTACAAGCGTCGTTTCTTCGCTGATCACATACTGAAGTGCGATGCATGCGCTATCAACTTTTTTTGATTACCATGAATATTACCTGAACAGCTAAATGAATAAACAAAATTGTCACACTTGGGATTAGATAGCTAGAGATTGAGTGTCATAGACCGCCTTAGTCATCAAAAGTCTTGCAGGGCCAAGGTACCTATGGACCGTTTCCGTTCGAAAATAAAAAAAAAAACTGAAAACCTTTTTGGCAATCGAAGAAAGGGTATTGGATGTAGGCAAATTTTTTTGTTCAAAAAATGGAAGAACTTGCCACGTTGTACAAGAAACGATCAATCTGCCTGAATCCATGTTCTTAAGTCAGCTGCCCTCGACGCACGATAGCGACATCCGAGTTTTCGTCCCGCTTTTGCAGTCTGACTCGTCTCCACTTCTTCTATATGGAAGGTGGAAGACATAAAATAATAGTTTCCACAATTCGACGCACAGGGGATTCGTGAAGTGATAGGTTGATGAAATTGATGCTGAACAACTGATTTAAAATTGTGAACGAATTATGTAAGCGATATCTGTGAATGTGCGAATTAAGCCCCCAGAGGTGGGGTAACGTAAGGGTAGAAACGCGCGCACACGAGACTCGCCTTCGTTTTCAAATCCGAGAACACCGAATTCCCCCCACGATACCCATAGCTTATAATTAGATTACTTAAACAAAAGAAAGCCTGTTGTAAGGATCATTCGACATTTCTGCCAGTAGAAAATCGCAGTAGCGGCTCTTACTCTAATATTTCTGATGAGAATTGTTTTCATAAATGTGAGATTGAAAAACAAACTATTCAGTCGTGAATAGTACTCCTTCTAATGGCTTTCAGATGAGCTTGCTCCATATCGTAATTTCTTTTAAACTGTCTGTTGAGGCTACTCATACATAATCGAGTTCTTTTTTCGATTTCAAAGTTCGATTTTGAAAACATTTGTCCTTGTCAAAGTCACTTGCAGTAGGCCTATACTTGCATCCAGATATGTTGAGCTTTGTCTCTCTGAGAGATCGAAGCGCTCATAGGATCCAAACTTTAACCGTTTTATGGAGCTTGTTTGTCACTCTAAGTAAGTATCCTTACAGTTTGGTGGCTTTTGCAAAAAAAAAAAAAAAAAGAAAAAAAAGAAAAGTATTGCAGTGTAATATAGCACTTTAGCAAATTTTTATTTTTCTACCTTTACGATTACCTAAACACCCTCAGCGTAACGTATGTTGCTGCTAACCTTTGCGTGCCTTTAGGACACTATTACACAGGCGAAAATCCACAATACTATGAGTTGTAAAAAAAACAAGCTCCGAGTTCACCGCGCAGCGAAATCCATAAATGCCGTAAACGTTCGCTAGCTTTAACTATCTAGAAAGGCGTAAATAGTATTTATCAGTTCTTATTTCGATCAAAAAAAGCGTGTTTCATCTCTGTACTTTTCTGTCAAGGCTACCACAACAAAGCCGGCGAGATAAATTTACGTTCTAAAACGATGCAGAAGAAATCAGTGTAATAAATTCTCGAATATTATATTGTATCAAGGAAATTATCGGCGACACGTTACGTATATGTGCAGTAACAGGCAGAAAGAAAACCGCAATAAAAGTATTTTTATTAGTATTTTTGTCATGTTTAAAAGCAACGCGGCTATTTTAAATAAAAACGCGAGGGGAAAAACCATTTCTGACTGTATACAGGTTCTCTTTGTGGACACGTGCCTATCATGACAAATATTCAAGCACTGTATTTTATAGGGCAATAAATTAATAAATAATTTTATAGGGTGATGGCCGAGGCGGTAGCGAAACTAATGTTATTCGCCAGTTTGGTATGATTCGCGTGTTTTTATCTGAACACGGGCGCAAAATGTCTTCCCGGAAGTATTTCTCACAACGAAGATATTAATAATAGAGTTTGGAAAAGAAGGATATTTACTATAAGAGACAAAACGCTACTAACGCCAATGGAGGAACACATATGGAGACCGTGTGACTATTAGGTCGAGCGCCCCCACCTTAGGACTTTCTTTATAGTTGCAGATTCCAAAGGATCCCAAAGCCGAACGCGATGAGGCGCTCTAGGTACTCAACGCACAGCCAAGAACTAAAAACTATTGTTGTATTAAAATGAAATAATCAACGTTTAAATCCTTATCACAGGAATAGCGAATTTTTTAAAAGCCGAACTTTATTTGTCTGAAAATTAGAAGGATGCAAGACATATAACACATATTGAAGATCAAATGGCTGTTTTATTGACATGAATTAAGAATCTTTAGCAACGGCACCTCCTAACATCATTAATTAGCTATTTAGACAAAATGCCACAATTTTTAAATATTAACAAATAAGAACAACAGCACCAACTGTATCTCCAATGGTTATTGGAGATCAAGCAAAGTATTACTCACGAAATCATGGAAAAATGCATTAGACTTCCAAACGTATTCCCGCTACAACGGTAACTATCATATGCGAAATACATTGAATAAATGTTTCGGGCCTTATGACCAATGCCACTGCTAACTAGCCACTGCTTCAGATGGCCGGCCCCTTCCAGCCTGGAACAAAACGAATCTGTGCCCGGCTTCGAACTTCGACCATTACGTGCTTCTATGTTTTGTGGATAAACACGTCACCACTATACTGTCACGGGGACGCCATGGTGTGCATTAACAGCATGTAATGAGTGCGACGTAATATAATGAAAACGTAAAGTTCAGTGATTGTTCATTAGTAAGTGATCGTAACACGCTTCTTCAGTTGCCTTCCACGCAAAAGTATAATAATAGCGCAGCACTATCAAACGCAAACAGGTATGCAAAAGAGAAGTAACCGAAAAAATGTCGATTCCAAGGAACTAACTACAGGAAGCCAAGGTGGAATTTAACAAAGCTCGACAGAATAGAAAATCAGTTGCGGCTGTTAGGATTATTGTTACTATTGTGTTAGCAGTGTCCTGCGAAGTGCCTTTGTTGCGTTTTTGCCAGCCTTCCCACGGTGCCACCACTTGTTTCGACTTTCTTAC